TTCAAGAATTAAATGACATATGCATAAAATAAACTAAATATGCAACTAAGCTGCATCTTAAATGTAATATAATGCTGGTAGAGTGTCTAAAAATGACATGTTGAGAGACAGAAAACCTCAGGTGGTTACTTTGCAAACATTTTCTGTAACAAATCTGCAAGGAGATTGAAGAGGGCATAGAAATATACAGGAAAACGCTAAATAAATCGAGCAACTGTGTCCCGGAATCTCAGTTTGTGAGGAAAGAGCCGAATGGGGAGAGTGTCGCTGATGCACCCCCAGGCCATCCTTAGCGTAAGAATTACTGGCAGATTGCACATTACTAGCACATCTCAGACACGCACAGCCCTACCGAGCAGAAAACACAGGACTCAATGATGCACTAAATTAGGAACTATAATATTCAACACCTCATTTGATTTTCTCCGACAAAAGCTACAGTGCAGCATGCCCCACGGATGCTATATCAGACTGGAAAATAATACAGATCTCTGTGTGGAAACTCAGGAACTACTGAACGTGCACCTTTCCCAACTTCTGATGCTCCTCGAATGCCGCGATCAGCTCCGTGGCCCACTTGATTCTCTCTGGACTGGGGGCAAATTCCTCTTGAACAACCTTGATCTGATTGGGGTGAATCACTTGTTTTCCTAGAAAGAAGTGACAAAGTGAATCCCTAACAACTTAACAAAAAATAAATAAATATTCCAAAGAGAATAACATATTTAATGGCCATGTCTTAGTAAATAAATAAAGACATAAAATATTTTTAAATCGTTAAACACCCTTACTTCAGTAACTTTTTTTTTAAACCACCGATCATAACATGTGCAGGCCAAAAATTCTACAACCAACAGTCTCTAATAATAAGAGTTAGTAGTATTCATGTGATCTTTAAAGGTCAGCTCACATGTAGGATAAAAATACATTAATTTAGGTATCAACCTTTTTATTTCTTTTTTTAGTGCACTATTAACAGTGTAGCCCACTCACATACAAAACTCTGTAAAAATAGAAAAAAAAAAATCATCTAGGATTATTCCTCCACGTTTAAAGGGCTTTGCTCCAGAGAAGCAAAGGCACTGATGGGTATTTGCTCCTCTTTCTCCAGTACAGCTCCCTGACCAAGAATTCATTTAAGGGACACAGCAGGGACAGAGGATGCTATGAATTATGGGTGTCATCCCGATTTTCGCCTCGTGTCCCGCTGAACTCTGAAACTTTACTGCACGCTTAGTTACACTCCAATCTGAGGCAGCCTCTGTGAGACTTGACTTGCTGCTTTTATTACAGGCCCGTGTGAGAGCCACACACATGCAGTCATCTCAACACACTTCATACACACACTACACACAGATATAGACGTCATGGACAGCAATAACTGATACCTCTCATAAGCTCAGCTATGTGTGTTAATGACCCAATGCTGGGGTGAAAAATTAGAGGTGACTACAACAGATGACCATGGAATGATCCATTATCAAAAGTCAAGAATGCACTTACAACCTACATTATCTATAAAAAATGCTTTGAGATAACCTGATCAATTAAAATGATTTATTTCTCATTGTTTTTTTAACTCGATTTTTAATTTTAAATTAATACTATCATTACTTTTATTGTATTATTTTATTCATATTAATATTTATATTGATAAATACAACAATAAATGATACAAAATAATAATAATATGTAAGGCCTTTCTAAAACGATGTGGATGCAATTTTCAAATATACATTTCCTTTTCCTCCCTGCTTTTCAGCATCAGCTAAGAAACTAATACGGATTACAGTCATGAAGGCAGGAACCTTATTCTCAAAAATAACATCTGTCCAGCACTGCACCATAATAATCAAGACATGTTCCCAGATCAAACCTCTGGGTGATGAGACTTCATTTGAGAAATATATCTTATGTTTTGCTTCAGCTTGTCTCTTAAAACAAATACGGAAAGGTAGCTAGCTGACAGCCGTAGAATTTAATACATGAGAAAACCATTAGCTCCATCTGTGGCTCTTACCCCAGTTAACCCCTCTGAAACAGCCTCTGCCATGTGTTATCCATTGAGTTCCCACATAATTTAGCACACAATGTTACATATTGCAGCGTAATGTCAGTCATATGTTAACACAGTCTTGCAACAGCACAGGTGTTACTTTCTGCATCTTTTACACATTGTCGAAGCCAAATGCTGCAAGATACGACACAATCTGATGATGCAGCTGGGAGTGAATGAGGCGTCGGGTTAACCAATGACAGCTAAGCATGCGCTTCAATGTAAATAAAGCAAACCAGCTTGGTGACTGCCTTTTCTTATTGAGCCAACAGCGCTACAGACGGAAAAATCACCAGTGTGTGTGTGTGTACTGTCCCTCTGCTGCTCTGGAGGAGATGGCCTGTTGGATCAACACCCTAAAGCTGAGGCTCAAGGTCCATGTTTGTGACGCCCATCCCAGAAAAGACTGGCAGGGGGTCGTTCCCTCACATCAACAAAATATGCCCCTTCCCCAGACTGCCACCTGTTCAGGAGCTGTCTGTTCTGAGCCAGCTAGTGACAGAGTGAGCAAAGTGGGCATGGTGAGCCCTTACGCAGCGCTGCTATTGGACGGTTGCTGAGCATCATTAATGCTCCCCAATGCCAGTCGGCCAATCACGAGGTGCCATCTGGTTTGGGTACGTCTGGTTGGCTCACTACCATTTAGCAGAGTGCCACTGTCAGATGATTCTCAAAATATCACATAGACGGGCTGAATTTATCAAAAAGGCAGAAAAAAACAACTGAAAAGGATACAAGTGAATAAAATGAAAGACAATTTTATTTTGACGTCTAAATTAATATACTGGAAAAAATACCTAACCTTTTTATATATTTTCATTTTAGGAGACCAACATTTTTTTTTCTTATTCATAACACGACACCATATCTATGTAGTTAACTAAAAGTCCTCCTAAAGAAATAAACATGGACCAAGGTCAAATCACAGGTGAGGAATTCAGGGAAATAATGCTTAAGACACATGTGTGCAGTGATACAAGAGGAGAGGATAAAATTTACGGTTAAGTTGTAACTTTTTGGCCTTTCTATTTTGTACCAGATTTAACTGCTTGCCTGTTGATGAATATGTACCTGTTGTAGTATTTTGCCCAATTATTATCGGAATATAATAGGAATATATTTACTTAAAAATTTAAAAATTTTTAAAAAGTGTTTTTATGATGAATAAAATGCCTGAATAAAGTATTTGAAATCTAAGAGCTCACTGAATGAAATATTCTGATTTAAATTTTAAAACATTAAAATCAGAAACATTTCCTAAACATAAAGATACAATTTTCCGATTTAAAATAATACATAAATACGTTTTCAAAATACAAAGTGTGATTTCAACTAACAATTTTATTTATAAAAAACATTCTGAAACTCCAATTGCTGTATTTGCATTAATATAGTGATAGATTTGCTCATGCAAAAAAATTATCTAAACTATTTATCTGCATGCAATTTCAACTGCCTACAGACAAACACTCGCTCACACACACACACACACACACACACACACACACACACACACACACACACACACACACACTTCACACTGAGGGTGTAAACTGTAAACAGTGTTTCTGTAGGCCTCCCGACACAGGGACCTCAGACTAGCAGTGGCAATCAGAACGGCGGTGAGCTCAGCGCATGCTACACGAGGAGCCGCTCCAATTCAGACTCGCACGAGAAGCAGAAGAGAGTCATCAAACCCGACCCCACCTGCCTAATGACAGGCTGCTGAACAGAGCGCCTGGCTGATGGACTGCAACATGGCACGACCAACCCGCAGGCTGGCTGCTGGGGAAATAAAAACAACCTTGCAGTGGCACCTTCACAGATATCCTGGGATGTCACAAACCGTAAAAATAATCATAATAAGTAAATCATTTAGTTGGATCACATACATATGCTTATTTCCTTATAAAGTTTTAGCATGTTAGCCACAGCTTCTGCCAAAATACAAAACTTACTCAAGTAAAAATTTGTTAATTTAGTGCACTGTAATAGCGATTTCAATCTTCAAGAAGAAAAAATAAATAAATGTCAGAAATTTATTTACATAGTTTGAAGGTGATCCTATAATAATTTATTATGATTTTACAGTAGTAATAATATTATGGTAATTTGAAGAGACTATGGTTATCGTGGTAATTTCTTTTATAATGGTTGTAAATGCCCTTCAGTTAATCAAATAAATGCTCCTAAAATAGTTTCTGTATGAAAAGCCTTTTTTTTTTTTTACCTGAGTTGCAATTCTATCATTATTAAATTATAATAAAATGCTGTTGTAAATTAAATCTAGTGATTAAACGTACTAGATGGAATTAGTGATGATTTTTGATGTTAAAAACTAAAGTAAAAAAAAGAAGACAGGAGAAAAGCGAGTGATCTTTAGCATTGTGCTGTGTTCTGGAGGAATGGCAGTGCTAGTGTATACAGAGATGTGCAGGGAGAACAGTGTGTATTCTGCAAACAGCAATTACATATTCATTAGCAGAGGCTCAGAAGAGGGCTGTGTCTGGCCTCCCGTGGCCAGTTACCCGCTCACCAGGCCTCCACACACACACACACACACACACACACACACACACCCACACACACACACACACACACACACGTTGCCTGGCTACAAACCGACACAGCGCTGAGCTGCGAACATACGTCTAGCTCCCATAAACACACTTGTAAGTAATGGATACACATACGCACAGATGAATAAAGAGACATGCACGCATGCGTACACTGCTAAACATAACTGGTAACTTTCTTTGAAGTTTCATATATGTAGTATGTTATTAAAAGCTCAGGTAATAAATGAAATCATCAATGCAATATGGACAGCATATAAAAATTAACAAAAATATAAAAAAGCTGCCTCAAATTTTGCAAATTTCACATGAAAATTCTTAAATATAACAACCATGTCAGCACTAATAAGGCAGGTGTCCAGAAAAACATGAGATGTAGAGGAGCTCAAATTGTAGGGAGAGAAATGCTAAAAAATACACAAAAACTCTCACTAACCACTAACCCATATATACAATATCAAATGTAATTATATTTATAATTATATATAATTTATGAAATGTAATACATTTTTTACATAGATTTTTGTGAGATATTTTAAGAAATTTTGCATGTTAAATACAAATTGTGCTCTAGCAATAGCAGCAAGTTGCTGCTTACCACCCACCTGTATTTAACCCAGAATATTCCTTTAAGACTGGAATATTATGAAGTCAATCTCTTGAGCCAATCATTAGTGCTCTGTTTGACATGTTTTGCTGTGCAACAATTTTCTTCCGTTTAAGCCAGTATATGCTCAACCTGCAATTATACATAAGTGCGTGCATTTTTACTGAGATCCTAAACCATCTGAGTCCAAAAGAGCATTTTGTTTAAGGAAGACCAGGCCAGGATGTCATACAGTAACTGAACAGAAAAGAAAAATAGCAGTCAGCGTACCAGTGAAGCCCATAAGTGCGCCCTCTCTGGCCTGCTGCCTCAGTCCTTCCACATCCTGATAGTCAATGTAAACAAGGTCGATCGCCTGGAGACCGAAAGCTTTGGTGGTGACCACCACTTTCTGCCGAGCATACAGGAGTTCTTTAGCATCTTTAGTTCGTGTGGCTCCTGCAGGTTAAAAGAGATCCAGCACCTGATTTTTACAAAAATGTTATTAAACCCAAGCATCATACATGACATAACAATGTGCAGTCTGAAGGGATATTAATGACATATTATTGTAAAAATGCATATTTTTCATCAGTTAATTAAAAGAAATGTTATTATTTGTGGTACTGTCATTCAACAAATAAGTGAATGAAGAAGAAAAAAGTGTATTGATAGTGAAATAAAAAGATAGCAGACCTATGCTGGCACAGAAGTCATCTGACCCGAAGACAACTCCGTCATGATGAAGACCTGCCTTTGGCCCAAGATCTCGAAGTGCTTCACACACTGCCTTCAAGAGAAAGAGAAAATACAGAGCTGTGCGGGTGTGTGTGTGTGTGTGTGCATGCGTGTGTACTTTGGCACTCTATCAAGTCACCCAGTCAGACGACTCTAATTTTCCCCAAAACTCCCTTAATCGCTGTCCACGCCTCTGTTCTTTATATTGTGTTTAGACATGGAACTATATCAGATATTAAAAAAGACACACACACATACACACACACACACACACACACACGCACACACACACACACACACACACAATTAATGGCCCATCTCTGTCCCCGTGAATGGGGAAATCTAGAAATCTGTGAAGACTGTCCAAGGCTGTAACTAACCCCAGAACAGGGACTAGTGAGAGACAGTCTGGAATGTGATATGACCGTTTCAGGCACGGAGCAGATGGAATTTCTTGAATGCTTTTGTTGAGTTCCAAATTAATTTCACTTCTTGCTGTGACTCTGCAATATTTCCCTGTCTTGGCTCTGGGATTCTGTCTAGCCAGCACAACATGGGTTTGGGGGAGGGGGAAAGAAAAATAATCAAAAGAAAAAAGGATCTGCATATTTTATAAGAGGACAAAAAACATGACTTTGGCCATTTTTTCCCCAGATAGGGGCAATTTTACACACATACACACACACACACACACACACACACACACACACACACACACACACACACACACACAATTAATGGCCCATCTCTGTCCCCGTGAATGGGGAAATCTAGAAATCTGTGAAGACTGTCCAAGGCTGTAACTAACCCCAGAACAGGGACTAGTGAGAGACAGTCTGGAATGTGATATGACCGTTTCAGGCACGGAGCAGATGGAATTTCTTGAATGCTTTTGTTGAGTTCCAAATTAATTTCACTTCTTGCTGTGACTCTGCAATATTTCCCTGTCTTGGCTCTGGGATTCTGTCTAGCCAGCACAACATGGGTTTGGGGGAGGGGGAAAGAAAAATAATCAAAAGAAAAAAGGATCTGCATATTTTATAAGAGGACAAAAAACATGACTTTGGCCATTTTTTCCCCAGATAGGGGCAATTTTATATGTTCTAATTCAAATTATAAAATTGTTATTTACCTTAAAATTCAGCAGACCCACAGCAGTTTCCACAAAGGTGACCAAGCGGATGGGTTCCTCAAGCTCTCTGCCTTTTAAGTTTCGCTGAAGCCTGTCAACAAACTGAAATGGACACACACACACACACACACACAAAAACAACACTTTAAATCTCATTTAAAGAGACAACATGCCACTCAAATGGCATACCTAATTAAATTAAAAAACTTCTGACTCAGGGTTTTGGAGAAAGAAGTAAAAGAAGAAGAAAAAAAGAAATATTACTTCAAAAACTTGACAGGATTCACACAGTTTTTGGACAACTCCTGTTTCATAGGGGCCCGTGAGATATTATACTACAGGTTCCTGTCTGAATTTACAAATAAAGGAGAACCGAATATGAAAAAGGAAAGGATGAGATTTGAGCTGTCTGGGAGTGCATTTCATTTCAGTTTTATGCAGAGCCTCGGCTTCCCCCGGCGGACAGACTCGTGAGACTTGCGACGTGTGATACGACACTTCTCCGCGCTATTCATTTTCCCGCTAATATTTGAGCTTACCTAAGAAGGCTTTAAAATGAAGTTTGGTGCTTTGAAGACCAAAGCATTCCGATTTTTTTCAACAGACCAGTTCACAGCTAGCCGTGGACTGCTAGTGGGGTTGCCCAAATTCCAAAATCTATCATCTGGAAACACACAAAAGCTCCCTCTGTCAGATATTTTATTTCAAAGCCTGTACAAAAAAAATGTAAAAATAAAATGAGGGGGGAAGGGAAGGGAAAGGAAGGGAAGAGGAAAAAAACTCAAAGCGGAAAAGTGTAATTCCCTGTCCCCCTATTCCGTCTCTCTTTCACACATCGGGGACAGCAGATTAAAATAACCTCAGGTACGTCAAGGCTAGTTTTCCAAATAAAGGCTAAAATATTCCACACACACTTGTTTTATTAGCCCAAAGAATACGCCTTCATTGAGGGATTTTTTTCTAATGGGGGAATTTTAATCATGTCCCATTCAATCTCAGTAGGATAAATCATATCTGAGAGATTTGCATAAATATAAACCATCAAAGACTTTTCATCTTCAAAGGGGTTTTCAAGACCCAATAAGCTTGGTACTGTAATCATCTGAGGTCACAACACTGCAGGAGTAATGCTGCTATGGCAACATGGAAACGCCAACGGCTTAGCATAATATTCCCCTCGAATGGAGAAAAGGGAGGGAGAGGGAAGGGCTTGTTTGGCAGCCCTTCCATTTCCTTTATGGAGAGGCGCCATTAGGACATTGATGAGTGACAACAAATTACAGGTGTGCTTTTACTGTGCCGAAGTTTCAGGACCGATCTGCCTTTTCAATATTTACACATCTTGGAGGGGAACTCAACATTGAACCACACTTGCGCAAATGCTAATACCGCTCTCAGGTCACAAGCTTTTCCGGTCCCTATAGGCCACTTGCAAAAACCCACACTTCTCGACACAAGTGCCACGGCGGCCCCATCCGCCATGATCTGGATGGGAACGAGGCAGGGATTTTGGGGTGAGGGAGCCGCTAGAGCAAAGAAGGCGGCAAGTGGATAAGTTTCAATTAATTCTCTTCAAAAGAGGGCCAGATTAAATGTTTCCGGCCTGCTGTAGTGCTCATTTCACTGTGTGGTGGTGGAAGGGGGGGTGGGAATTAGGAGTGGACGGGGAGGGACGGGACTCGAGCTGGTTCCTTTCAGGACTCAGTAGTGTGGCGACCAAAGAATGCGCACAGCTCCGAATCTGTGGGAGAATTGTCTGCGGACAAAAGGAGGAGGAGTGGGGGAGAGTTACGCCTGTTATAGTCCAATAAGCCTTGTCAGTCAAACAAGCACGCAGAGAGAGGATAGAAAGGGAGAGTAGAAGATTTTCACACAAAAGGAAACAAGTAAGTCCATCTTTTAGCAACAAATCAGTCTGGAGGTTCCTCTGCTCATCTACATGAAAAAGGGAAAGAAAATAAACAACAGAGGGATTTAGGGTCGGCCGCCGGGACGAGAAGAAGAGAAGGAGGAGAGAGAGATAATCAGGCTTGTAGTGGTACGACTTTGTGTTGTGCGTTGGATTAGACAATCACTGACTGCTCATCACAGACACAAACACACAAGGGAAAAAGAGGTATTTAATGCTACACTATAGCATTTGATAGCTGGTGTTTATTTTACGGTATTAAAAAAACAGATGATTTTAAAGTAGTGCTCAACTTTTACAATAAAAAGCTCCATTATGACTTGATGCTCCCTCTTTCATTCCACAGTAAAACATGTAATAACACCACTGGATTAGCGAGTAAATATAAAAAAATACTAACTTAGTAATGACACCAAAATGCTGCTGTTTTAAATAGTCTACTATGTTGTTATTTAACTTGCAAATGACTTGACATTCAAAAATAAAGCCAAATAAATAATTTAATTAGTTAAATGTTGCTGATTTTATATCAGTAAATGGAATTACAAAAATAATAATATCAGTTTTAATGAAACCGGTTTGTCTGTCATTGGTTGGCCAAACATGCAGTCCCGCCCCCAATTCATGCCATTGGTTGAGTCAATGTAGCCTTGTCAGACTACACAAAAAACAGACCAATAGTGGCACACAACCACATAACTGGAAATTACTAACTTTGTTACATATTGCGTATTGAGCAGATATTTTCTTTCTTTTTGAGGATAGCTGTCAAAAATACAAAAACACTACAAATATATAGCAGCAACAAAAACTGCAATAACTACGGCATTTTACAGAAACTACATGACAATGGTCAGTTCTGGTAAGGATTCTGTATAGCCAAGTATGACGACATATCCAAACTGTCCAATGATCAGAGCTGTTAGGGACAGCAAAAATGAGAAAGAGAGAAACTACCTCTCCTTTCATGTTCGTCTCACGCCACTTTCAAAGCAGTGAGCCCATGTGTCAGGTCAGTGCTACATGACTTCCTCTCCACTCACAATCTCCCGTATCCTGCTGTGGCTATGAGCTCAACCGTGTGCAAAGTATGCAGAGAGCAGGTTCTAACCCCCGCCACATATGTGTGCACTTTTTAATGCATTCACACACACTGTATTACCCAATGTGACATATGTGTAGAGGTTGTATTGATTTTTGAGTGGCTAAGTGGGTAGTGAATGGCTGATAGTGTAGGTCATTTTACTCTGAAAATGGGTTTATTTTTACATGTGTGTGAGAGAGGATCCCTGAAACCATATAGTCAAATCATTCATCTCTTTATTTTTTATTTATTTTTTTATATATACGTTCAAGAGCCACCAAATATTTTTTATAAAACTAATTCAGAGGAAAGCAATAAAGTAATAGACAAAATGGCAGTGAACAAGAAATAGAGACAACAATATGAACACCTGTCAGCAATTAAAAAGGGAGGAAACATTGAGCGGCCCAGGAAATATATGAGCACTAATTAAAACCACTAGTTAAAAACTTCCTTCTTCTAGTCTAAACTAACTGTGAGCAACAGACTAGGGGCCCCCTCCATCTCTCAGCTTCCCTCCCTCCCTTCATCTACCTAGTTAAGATATTGTGGCTTCTTTCAGGTCTTTTCAGTGGTCATGCAGAGTAGCTGAATACTGCAGATTTGGGCTGGGTTGGCTAGTTGGGGGAAAAGAGCTGGAGGGATTTGGGGGCTGGTGTATTGGCTATGCTGGGGGCCACCAGGGGCCTCCTGGGGCTGCCTGGCAGAGGAAGCCTTGCTTTGATGGACGAACAGACATCTTCAACACCTCTTGAAACACACACACACACACACACACACACACACACGGAAGTGATCAGGAGAAAAGAGTGTTTTGTGGCTTTTGGTTCATGTCTGCTAGCTTTGAGACAATCTGTATTGTCACTGGCTGGCTCACTGACCAACCATCTTATAATGAGATCTATACAAGTGGTTAAATTGGCCTTCTACTTTGATTTGAACAATGCCAATCTCAACAATGCCAAACCTAAATAAACCTAAGTATAGGTTTATTGAAGAGGCCCTGTGTTTCCAGGGTAAAGAAGTACTTTGTGACATCTGCCTTGTGAAGCTAGCTTTAAAATGTCATGGCTTTCTTGAGCTGATGCCAAGATATACAGCCCCATTTCTCCCTGGGCCTGACTACAGGGATCAAGTCCTCTGTACAGACTAATAGAAAAGATTGTTATTGTTGCTTTGAAAAGGCCTGTGGTTTTGTCTTACTCTGTGAGTTCAGAGGGTGTTGTGTTCTTTACAAATGATGGAAAATGCAAGAGCACACCGGAGGTATTTTTAGTGTCTCATTTTTCACATTAGGCAGGGCATAGACTTCAATTTGTGGGATGAAATTATAACGAATGTTACATTACCTATAATCTAACCATAATCATATGGAAACATATGAGTCCTCAATGCACAATTCAATATTTGCAAATGTACTGATAACATTTTTGGGAAAAACACTACTGTTTGAAAGAAGTCACCTATGCTCACCAAGGCTGCATTTGTTTGATCAAAAATACAGTAAAAACAGAACTGTTTTCTTTTTTAAATATACTTTAAAATGTAATTTGATGGCAAAGCTGAATTTTCTAATAGGCTGAAATCATTTTAATAGGCTAATTTGCTGCTTGAAAAACATTTAGAATTATTACCAATGTTGGAAACCGTAAAACTTTTTTTCAGGACTCTTTTATGAATATAAAGTTCATAACAGTATTTATTTGAAAAATATTTTTTGTAACATTATAAATGTCTTTACTGTCTTTACTTTTGATCAATTTATTGCATCCTTGCTGAATAATTTCATGGGTTGAACGACAACTTTTATGGTGCTTTTAAATCTTTTTTAGTCATGGCTGCTCATTGTATAGTTTCTATGTATGGACAAAAGATTTCTTTCAACATACCTTTTTTGTATTTCAAAGAAGAAATTGTAAATAATGACAGAATGCTAATTTTTAGGTGAACTACTCATTTAAAATGCTAAAAGACTCACTCACCCACTGCACCTCTCCTGTATCCTCTACCTTTGGCAGCATGAGAGCTGTGGGAAGCACGTCTGCCTGCAGAATCACCTCCATGTCAGCTTCAGCCAGGCCGCTGGACACCGAGTTCACCCGCACACACTTCTCCGTACGCCCCAGATCCAGCTCAGCTAACATCTTTGGGATAGTTTTCCGAGCTGCATCCTGTCAAAAAAAAGAAAAAAGAATCCATTGTGTCAAAAGTACTTTCTTCACCACAGCTGCTATTAAAGAATGGAAATGCCCCAATGCATGCTGGAACACAAAATTAAAGACTGACCCAACTGTTTATGCAGTATTCAGTGATGTAATAAAATTGCAAAAAAAACAAAAAAACACTGAATGGATATTTTACACAATTCAGACACTCTATTTGACCAAGAACACAGGCTTGAGGGTATCAAACGTGGAAAAATTGAGTGAAAGTAGACGGTTTATTGTTAGCTTTTTTTGCTACTGGATGATTTGTGTTTACCTAATAAACAGGAGGAAATATTCTCAATATTATGTTATAAATATATGTAATAAATATCATGTTACATATGGAAAACTACAAGCAATAAAACTGCAACATGGACATATCCGTTTGAACTGGGCATTGGGTGCACTTGTAAAAAGATAAAGATGCATCAGTTTAGACGAGTGGACGCTATGTGAATTTACAGGGGAAGTGGTGGCTGGCGCCTGGGATTACAGTGCGGAGAAAGATCTAGCGAGAGGGATCAACCTCACTACAGCGGATTCACCAAAGGCCGTAAAGTGAAAAGCCTTGCACACAAGTCTTCCACACAAACACCACAGACACATGACCAAAGGAAGTGGAGGGAGGAAGAATCAAAGTTAAAGCCAAGTTCCAGTGCCTAACTGTGACAACAGCAGCACACGCCAGGAGATTCAAACCAGATGCAGCTCAATGCAGAGGTTTCCATTGGTCTGAACACAGCACTCCAACTCCATCCGAAGGGAAATGTGGTCTCAGTTAAGCAGGAGGAGGAAACAGTAGCTCAGGGGTTGTCAGGTTAGATCAGAGGAGGGATGAGAAAGGCCAAGAGAAAGAGAGGAGGGGGCCAAGGCTTATGGGTTAATTCAACTTGAATGAGGAACTACTTGGCCTAGGTCATCTTCACAAAGTCCACCGGCACCTCTACCCAAAAACTGGCTGCTAATTGTATAGTTTTTATGTATGGAAAAAGTTATATATTTTTTTTAACATATCTTTTTTTTTGTATTCCAAAGAAGAAATTTTAAATAATGACAGAATGCTAATTTTTAGCTGAACTACTTGTTTAAAATGCTAAAGGACTGACTCACCCACTGCACCCAGCCCAGACCATAATGGCCACAAGCCAGCCAACTACATGGCATTTACATCGAGTTTAGAGATAATGAATAGAAGGAAAGAACAAAAATAAAATAAATAAAAAATAAAATGAGTTTAGTTTAGTAATTCTAATAATAATAATATTATTATTATTATTATAATTATTATTAATATCTAGACTTAAATGTATATTGGATGTCTTTTATGGTCTGGCCTAAGGTTCATCAGTTTTTTATTTAATTTAATTAATATATTCTAATAATAATAATAATAATAATTACTACTGTTATTATTATTAAAATGAATATTAATAAAATTCATGCTATGTTTCTTTTATTATTATTATTATTATTATTATTGCTTTAGCCTAATAGCGAACCAGGTATTATTGTCAAAAAGCACAAACAGAAAAAAAAAAAATAATAAAAGGGTTCTGCATGTCAGCTATCAGATATATATATATTAAAAAAAAAACATTATGAGTATTGGTCATGAGATGGTAAAAGATGGTAAATCTCTAGTCTAAATCTGTAACCCTCTATTAAGTTGAGTCTGGACTATAAAACCTTTCTTTTGAACTGGTAATCACAAGCGGTCTGGATTCAGATTCCCTCAACCTAGAGCTAAAATAACAACACTGTCAACCATTTGTATAACAAAATTGAAAGTGTACACAAGCCCAAAGCTATGAAATCATCTATATAACATCTGAAGCGTTGCAGATATATAACTAGCAAAACAGATTAAATCCAACACACAGTCTAGACACTCGTGTCTAAACTGACATTGTGGTCCTCAGCTTACAGTTTATGGTAAGAGTTGCTGAATAGCAAACTGAACACAAAGTGATCCTCAATAGGAAGTCATGTGTACGTTTAAAACCTATAATATATTTAGAGATCACAGTGGTAATATTAGAAGGGCCGGTGGGTTTATGAAGCCATAACTCAGCATTTGTAAAGCTTCCATGGTGGATCCAGTTTGAGTCCTCCAGTATAATCCAAGACTGATCCAGTGTCTTAGACACTGGCGAACCAATGGCTGATATCAACGTTCACTCTTGAACAAAAACACAAGGCTAGTAACAAATCAACATCAAAAAGCTCCTATATCAGTCAAAAGACAACAGCGTAGCTAGAAATGGACCAATCAGACTGAAATAACCGCTGAATTGTGTAATGTTATATCAAACCTTCATGCCATGCGATTCTCTGCTTTTTATCACTATATTTTGCTTTGAACTGATATTCCTGACAGCAAAACATTTGAATTTCTATCAGTGGGAAGGCTCGCTAACTCATCTCCCCTCACAGTAAATTGACAGAAAGAACATTGTTGAGAAGATCTTGGGCTCCTGAGGGGACCCAGCCATTCCGAGCCGGAATAAAAGCGCTTTGAAAGCTGAAATGTTTTACATTAATGGAAACCTGTCCAACTAGTTGCTTCAAAAGACCCTTTCCCAATCACCCAGCATCCCACAGAGTGACCAGGAGAATGGCAGGTTTGAAGGATCTTTGATTGTTTCCATCAAGCCCATCATTAAAGCTCAACACAGTATCATGACAGCACGTCCACAAAACACTCAAAACAAAGGACAGACTTTAAAGTTTGTAGACACTGACTTCTCATTTAAAAAAAGGCCAGATCATTCACATTTTTAGAAAATTTGGACTCCAACTGTGCAATATGCCAAGAAATGGATCTGTGTTTGGATTATTCAGTGTCTAATCAAAGCACCGGAAAAATGAGTGGTTTGTATGACATTTGAAATGTATAACAATTTCTTATACATTTGCATTATTAGAAATGAGAGCAAGAAATGTGAGAGGGAGGGACAAAAAGAAACTAAATTTGCATTTAACGTTTCTCACTCTTTTAATTTTTATTGTTTTTCATCCCAGCTTCTTGCAACTGATTGTGATATTTTCAAAAATGAGTTGGAACTATGTGAGAGATGGTGACTTTGATTCCCTAGATGTGTAATCTAAGCAAACAATGTCTCATGGACAGGGTCTGACAGGTGACGCACTGGGCATCTGGAGCTCTATTCCAGATGAATGACTAACAGATCCAGCATCTGATTCTGCATTTGTCCCGTTCCGCATGAGAGGAAAGCCTGTCCCTCAAGACTCACCGCTAGATTCTCAGTCTCTCGAAAACCACCACTTCTCCTCACACTGTGAGGCTGAAGAATGATCTGTTACTACTTCAGAGCGCTGCTCGGGCAGCTCACATTTTACTGACCTGCTCTGCCAATCAAAACAGACATTTGTAATTTGATAATGAGAGAGGGACAATATGCACTTTTCTTCAAAACTCAGCGTTTTGTGATACGTTGGGCCACAATGGACTCCCAGCATCAAGATGACAAAGAGGTTACGGTAATGGAGCGTTCAGATCGGCCCTTGGGCACATTCAACATCTGCCATTCATGGTTAACTATGGATTCTTGCTGTTCATGGGCGCTATTTATTTCTGTTCTCAAAGTACTTGAAATGTCTGTCATCATAACCTGCCTTTAAGCAACACAACAGTGTAGCCTTGTGATGCAGGCTGCATGTGAGAGTCTCTTCTGCTACTGAAGTGCTGAAGGAAAAACATCTAAGCCTGTGATGAGAGTGGGAACCGAAGAATCTCTGTGCCTCTAGGGAAATGACAGAGCTCAGTTTTTCTCAGGGTTTTGTACTGTATCAAAGTTGTATAGGTAGCAACTCTTGACATAATTATTTTATACTATTCAAAGATAAACAGAAAACACTAAACATTTCAAAGTAAAAAACTTTGTAACTTTTTAAAGCTGATTATGATTGCACAAGTTTTTCTAGTTGTGTTACAATAATAACAGCAACCCAGATGTGACACTTTCCACAAATAGGATACCAAATAGTTTTTATACTCAATTTAACTCCGTTCAATTCATATTTATATGTATAGTGCTTTTCACAATACTCATCATTTCAAAGCAGCTTTACAGAAAATGCATTTCTACATTACAATTTAGAGTGATCTGTTATCAGAAGTGAATGTGTTCAAGTATTTCACAAATGAACAGTTCAAGGTAACATAGTTACAGTTAGCTAACATGAATGAATTAATTTCCCCTCAACAAATTGCTGTGAATAGAGGTCCTTAAATTATCTGTCAACTTCATGAGGTCAAACTAAATATTATTGTCAGGGAAAAACACGGATTCAATTTGCAGGTTCAACTCAAATTTATTTGAATCTCAAAACACAAAACTCGGCTGGGACTGCAGACCAGAATCCGTAATTCAGGGCAGTGATTAGAGACAGGAAGAGGGGAACAGCCCAAACGAGCCTCCAGTCACTCCACGAGGCAGAGAGGTTAAGGCGTACGGAGATCAGCGCACACAGTCCCAGCGTCAGTGCTGACGCAACGTCAGAGTAGAGAGAGAGAACAGCGCACAGATTCCCAGCGTCAGTGCTGACGCAACGTCAGAGTAGAGAGAGAGAACAGCGCACAGGGTCCAAGCGTCGGCACTGACGCAACGTCAGGGCAGAGAGTTCCTTCTTGAATGCGCCGAGAGGGGCAGGAGAGGAGAGGCCGCGAAGCGCGGTTCTGGTAATGACAGGGCAGGAACTGGGGAACAGAAAACTGGTGAAACGAGAGGCAGAGAGCGAGCAGAAAAGACAAACTGAAAACACTAAACTGTACTTGGAGCCTATGAAAACACGGCAGGACAAAAACACAACAAGACTGGTAGTAGGTCACGAACGAAGTGCAGCGTGTTCACACCACAACAGTCAGACACAAGACTACACACGAGGGGAACTTAAAAAGAGGGAGAATTAAGGAATTAACAAGTCACAGGTGTGACGGCAGC